AAAAAAAAAAAAAAAAAACCTCGTAAATATTCAATTTGATGGAAAAAAATCATACAGACCTGACATAATATTCATAGATCTTGTAGATTTTAAACTGCTGTACAGGTTTTGTATTTTTGATATTTTTGAAATGCGTTCATAAGATTAATGTTATGTTTTTGAATGCGTGATGCCTAGTTAATGACTATTAATAATAACTATATTAAATCCCTCAGTATTATTCATCAATCATTTGTACATTGATTTTTCAAAAAAAAATTCAAGAAATCAAAGGAGACTATCTGTGCGATTTTTTCCTTGGAACAGTGTACTATTTTACATTCTTGTTAATCAAATTCATAAAGGAACAGAACGGAAACTCCATACTTGCGGAGGTCTTGAGATGCTACTAATTTAGTCAGGCTTATCAAGTCAACATACGTACCTCGTCTAGGCTGAGTTTTTCAAATTGGTCGCGGTAGAGTAAAAATTCATCCTTGTTGTCTGGGGTCAGCCTGTTACTCTTTAACAAGTAACAAAATGGTTTAAACAGCTCCGAAAGCATTCTTTGAAAAGAGCGCAAATGGTCTTGATCAGAAATTGTAGACAGAGTTCCAAAGTCGAGCAAAAGAACAGGATAGCGAGCAAATTGGGTTAAGAACAACTCCGGAAACTGCTCCAGTATTTGCAGTGCTGGCTTTGAGAAAGTTTCATAGTTTTTCAGAGGGTAGACACCATGAGGTTTCGTAACATTCCCGTGTATTGAGTGGCCCTCACTGTCAGTTAGAAAAGCCACTCTTTTTGTCAAGACGTTCCGAAGGCCTTTACACTTATCGAGGGCGTTCTGAATGGTTGCATCCGTTTTCAGGATCTCGGCCGCGTTAATAGAGTATCCATGAGAATTGACATCCAAGGCAAAGAAATCCCGGAGCATTTGCAGGTTTGTAGACTTGCCGAAACCAGGGGGAGCCGCGATGTAGATGTGCCAATGGTTGTCTAGGATGAACTTGATCAGTAGGGTTTTGTCGATGAATTCACGTGTCGTAGTGAGATGTTTAAAGGAGGTATGATTCCGTGGCTCTCCGCCGGTATTTGTAGCACCCTGTAAAGAAATAAAAATAACGGGCTAAGTCGTTTATCATCGATTAAATCTTTCTTTAAATTTTCCAGATCCCCCCCTTTAATTACTTGAAAAATTTGCATTTTGTCTGAAAAATTTCGCTTTTCAGTACATGTGATTTTTTCATCCCGATATTCCTAGAATGGTTTTTTTTCAAAAATTTCAGAGGATTCTTTCCGTCTATAAATGTACATAGTTCTTGACGTATTTCGTAAATTTTGTTTCCCTGTTTGACAAGATACGGAATCGACAGTTTGTCAAATCACAAAATGCCCAAAAAGGTTGAACGAACCCTCTAAACCATGCATTCAATTTAGACAGTGCGGCATATAAATATATATTACTGGTTTGAATAATGTGTTTCACTATGTGACGCGCTGTAATATTGAGACAAGTCCGCACGTGACCTAATTTTAATATACGTAAAAGTAAATTTCATTTTATAAATTCAGGAACTCTAAAATTTCATTATTATGTTTCTCTCTTCAAATCAGCAAGCCGAAACGTCATGAAAGGGTTGGACTTACGGAAACGGATGCAATCAGAAACAGTACTTGTAAAATCATCTTCTCGTTTTTTCAAAGGTTCCAATTTCCTGAGAGATAGTCTTGTGCGTCGCATTTGATCCCAACAAGTGACTGGATGATTTCACCACAAATTTACCATTGGGCAACTCTGACAAAATGATATTCTTGGTTTTGGGGAAAACCTCCCCTTTTTTCATAGTGGTTTCCTAAAGAAATAACACTTTTTCTTGTCACATATCCAATCCGCTATACTGTACGTCTACACCTCTATTAATTTTATACCGACCCAACTAAGGTTAACGTCACAATCAAGTTAGATAAATAGCGTTGATAAGAACAGTATTGTATAATGAGACCAGGCGGAACCAGGGCCACCAGTGGTTTTTACTTAAAATAATGACCGAACTGAGGTGTCCGTCATAGTCAGTCATCTTTCGGGAAATCAAACTACTGCAGGGAATCTGCATGCAGCATCGCGTCAGGGGTTTGCAGTTTTACCGTAGATATGCGCGGATATCTGGGGTAGTTTTTTCGTTTTTATAGAAATTATCGTTTTTACGCGCGGTGCAAAGTCGGACTTAGGACCAAGTGTCTCTTTTCGCCTTCAATTTTAATGATACTTCAAGCACATCCAGAAAGCACGAATAGTGGTATCAGGGAACCGTTTGAGTTCAAGAGCCTCGTTCTGTTTTCATCTTGTGACTTTTCACGTCTCAACGGTATTTTTACGCAAACGTCTTGGTTTGTTAGCGTCGTGAAATTGAGAAAAACTTGGTGAAGTGTGCCCAGATGTCGGGAATAGTTTTTTTTATTTTGATAGGGAGGTCGAATCCCGGATGAAAGCAGGATGGAAGAAACCAAGGGTGTCACTACCGCAGTGGATGCCGTTTTAAACCGAATCCTTCGAAGTGCGATATCTCGGTTAATATTGAACGTAGTAAGTTGCTGTTAGGACGGATTTTATTATTTTTAGCCGATCTACGAGAATGAAGCATCCAAACACGATTTTGTGACAAGCGCAATTGACCCATGCATTTGAGTTATTTTAAAAGCCTACTTCAGGGGATGCCGTAGGTGCTTCGAGTAACTGCAGAATTTATCCTGAGACCGTCGAGTTCCTAGAAAAGCATCATGGTATCTTAAAGAACTAAAAATCATCATTCAAAGATCGCTAAGTATACCACTGAAGTAATAAATATAGCTCTGAATCTGATTGACCAATTTAAAATTTAAATTTAAATGCTGAATTTAACCAAGAACCCGTCATGCCCTTCTCATTAGATTTGCTATCTTTTAAACACCTACCTCTCAGCTTTAGGCGGTCGCTCTCTACTCAGCAGTGATTGTTGGATGCAGGAATGATTTGAAGTCATGATCGATTACATTTTTCCATATTTTTGTCGTGACTTCATCGGTGTAGTGCGCCTCAAGTTAGTCCTCCCTTCTATCCACAGCGGTGCCATTGTCACACTTGTGGAAAAACTTAAAATCTGCAAACCGGCTTAGCGGGTTGAAACCTACCAAAATCGCAACCCTCAATTTACAGTCTGGAAACACTTGTAAACCCTTGAGATATACAGGTTTCAGTGCTTCACCATTAATGAATGACCCAACCAGGATCCCAATTATAATTCCAGTTTCCGTTGATCGCTTTACAAGGACATCTTGCCGGTCATGGTCCAGAGTTATCTGACCACGCAATAAGCTGAACTTGCGGGAGTCCGCCACGAAAGTGACCAAGGTGTGCGCCAGTTCCCGCGCACCTCGTGGCGGGCGGTTTTTGAAGAGGGCTGTGACCGCTGTCGAAAAGTTGCGGAAGGACGGTTCCTCCCCTGTTAGTTGCTCGATGCTTTGCACAAAGTTATCAATAATCTGGTTAGCAATTTTTAGTTTCTTGATGTAGTATCTTCGGTCGAAGATTAGGTTTTTGATGTCAAGCATTGTTTCGAAGTTCGGTACGTGGAGTCTATTTCCATCTTGAACGGTAAAAAAACCATGGTCGAAGAGGATCTGTAGGACTAGGTTCCTGTAATGGACAGTTTGATTGGTGGCGAATATAGCTCGGCGCAGTTGCTCGAGGTGTTTATGTGAAATCTTCTGTCTGATTGGGACCTTTGTTTTATCATCGAAGGCATCTTCCACATCATGACCGATATTTTTAAAATCTAGGACAGTTTTTAAGGCTCTGAATTTGATTGACTCAAACCGGTAAGGCCTAAACACACCTGTCTTGAAGTAACTCGTCGTTGACCGTGTGTTGTAGATGTTATGACCCTTGCTCGCTGCTTTGTAGCCACTGTACCAATCTCTAACGTTGGCCACACTTTTTTGTCGATCAGTGCGATTAGCAAGTTCCAAAATTTCATCCTCTGTAAGGCCATAATACCTGAAAGAGAATGAAGTAATAATTTCAGATAGGATGGTATTTTTGGGATCAAAATTTAAACTTTGAAAGGGGTCTAAAATCATTCAAACGCCGAAAATTCCGATGACTGAGATGAAAGTGCCCATAGAAGCGATACATTTGAGAATGCTCGATATTGACTACGCAAATTGTGCGTTCAGAGGCAAATTTTATACTCTACTAAAATCGTCGATGATGCTTTTGTGCAATTATACTGCTAAAAAGTCTTCTCAATGTACTAGTAGATGGCATATGCCGGTTTGACCACA